GCGAATTTGACGATCTATTCCCTAATCTGGGCTGATCTGCTCAAAAGACCTTGCATTCTAGTATTTTGTGGCAATTTGATTGATAGACTATCCTGCGAAAGGAAGCCGTCGGTCCGCACAAGCGCGCACGGTCGATCCTCCTGCACATTACATATTTGCAGGCGATTAAGCGGGAGGCTGGCACGTCCATACGCACCGCTGGCCAACACTTGTAACATATCCACCAGCTAATTGCACGCCATCTTTCTTACCTTTTCGTAATGTGGAATATATGTATTTGTGAATGCCGCATTACCGTAGTCACCATGGCACAACTAGTTTCGATCCTTAACACCGTATGTAAGGTTTCACACCACATACAGGTCCCCGCACGACTAGCGTCATGCCCATTCACGTACACATGCACCGTCTTCTCTGTCAGAGCCCCTTTCAGCCTCCACTTTCAACTCCATTTCCCGCGGGTGCTCTTCCCAACACCCGTCTCGTGGACAGACTACAGCTGGAATTTGTTACGTGGTGTGGACTATCTCCCGTCGTTCTGAACATTCATGGCTTGCAGCTGCCTCGTGATAATACGTTGAACAAGATCCAATCCACTTTTGCTTGTGTCGCCGTGTATTTTACATGTACAACTGCAAGGTAATGGGTCCCATGAGTTTCATCTCAATTGACACGTGTATGGACACATGGAAGTCGGCCCACGACACCTCAACGCGTGTAACGGACTTATCAGAAGCCCGCTGCGAGGCACGACTACTATTATCCAATCGGAGGGCAAATAATTCGTCTGATTGTGACCACTGCAGAGGCGTTTCGATGACAGTCATGGAACCGATCAGAATCACTGAATGATTTTACGTCCAGCGAAGCTTTGACGCCTTAAGCATCACTGGACACAGCAAACTCAAACTCACTCAAACAGACACATCCTGAAGGTCCAACTAGGTACCGAGCAACGGTATTAGGGGTGGCGTGAAATGCTTCTGAAAGGAATAAAATATAAAACAAAAAGGAAAAGGAAAAAGGGAAAAGTCTCACCCTCAAAAGCAATGCAGGGACACCCACTGACACAGGCCAAGATCTACCACCCTTTCTCATCGGAGTACGTCAGGTTCACGTACAAGGAGCTGTCCACACTGGTACCCACACCATTCATCACAGCGGTTTGCGGACCGTAAAGTTCTAATAGATTCTCTCCCATGGTTTGCGTGCACTAACCACAAATTTAGCAACTGCTAATCACCAAGTTAGCTGACATTGACAGCGTGCGGACTGAAGGACGAGCGACCCTCTTATCAGGGAGATAATGCTTGTGAAGCCAGGTTTTTTTGATCTCTTTATCGAAACGTGCTGAAGCTTGCGCTTTGAACGACTTTGTTTGTCTTCCAGTGGCGAAACTTGTCAATCACTCTTCCATGCAGGGTGAGTCACGAGGCGGTCGAAAATACACCAATATGTGTGTACAGTAGCCACAGCACCACCATTGGGCGCGCGGGCGAAACCAAAGCAGGATGCCCTTCCCGAATGTCCCAGAACATCCGTACCTCAGGATCCACTCGCAGGTCTTAACGTCAACCATTTGCCTCGTCCTTTTTAGTCCGTTATAGTCCCGTCCAGAAGTTCGATGGGCGGGAGGACTCTCACAATCTGCCATCTCCATCTAGACAGGTAGTGTGGAAACGGTAGGTACAACATTGAGGACGTAGATGGATTGGACTCAATCAATTCTTCACTGAAACAAACTGTTATCCCCTTATTATGATCACCGGTGATGCCCACTACACCTTTAGTATGTTGTCGCTAAGCGCGAAACTAACACGAATTCTTCGGTTAGCATCGATTATACTCCATGAGCGGAGTGTTTCGAAGCAGGTTTAGCCTATGTTTATACATGTACTCCATATCTGCTGCTAGTCTCACCTAGGCAGACCAAAGGCTCTAAAGAAGACAATCGTTCCCTCCCGGCCATCTGCTGCTACGATCCAGAATCACTGTAGGTAGCGCAAGAATGGGGACTTGACAGATTCTAGTCAGTGAACGTGTCTAGTAGTGAAAACTCCGTTGAACCTGTGCGCCAGATCGAAACATGTCGTTTGAGGCCTTACAGAAGATTTACCGTCATTTATTTTTCTTCCTTCGGTCAGAGCCCAGCTACTTATTTGCCAATCCGTATTATACTGTGTCGTCTTTGCTGCAGAATGGCATCGCTTGTGCGATACCGCCACCCATTGTGACAGCAATTGAAGCTTGAGCTTGAAGGTTCGCGGGATGATCGCTTATGTCCAGACTGTAAGTCGAATTCCGCTTCGTACCACACTCTCGCTAATCCAACTTCGCGAGGCACGGCAGTATTAACAGTATATTGGTGCCCGGCTATCAGGGTCTCAAGTCTGCCTCTAGCTTTGCAGGATAATATGGTGTTCTCGATAGTCGCTGACTACATCCTCGATCTCGGGGGAGTACTTCACGCGAGTTTCAGGGTTAGTGGCAGGCTACTCTCGCTACACAAGGTCACAAACACTCCAAATAATCTAATCGGCTTTCCCTTTCCTAATATGTTGTAGAGTTCAGATAAACAATTGCCTTGCCATGTCATTGGGAGCCTTGGATAACCATATGTGCAGTACAGTGTGTCGCGGGCGTGGAATCCCTCCGTACTTCTTCCCACTTAATCGATCGGTAACTGGAAGGGCACCTGCCAATGCAGTTCGACTTGATTAACAACCGCAACGCATCACATCAAGTTTACTCGTTCGATGTTCACAGTCACACCTCTGGCAGAGCATCCTCCAGATCTTGCCATCCCCGACTACGACACAGATTTTCACCCGCGAACCTCTCCATGTTTCGGGGTGTAACCGAGGAGCCACCCATGGAATGGCACGCCTTCCATCATCTTCTCTCGAAATCCCAGTAACAGACCTCCGGGTCTGTTGCAGAACTGGACGAAATCTAATATTTCTGCTTTGGAATTGTCTTGGCGGGTAAGATCCGCTGCAATCTGGACGTGTAATTGTGGCATACATTTGTGTTTCAATTGTAAGGTTGCGGGAACGTGTACTTGTCCGGAAGTAGACAGAAAATGAAGGCGATCAAGAAGGCTAATGGAGAGCAGGTAAAGCAGATGTGTATAAACTGAGAAAGATGAGCGGTGAGTAGCAGGATCTTCCAGCTCCAGGCATGGGGAATCTAAGGTGGCGTGGGCAGAGGCAAACCTCGACTAGAGCTTGGTCGCGAGCTAAGTATAAGTAGCCAGTCGACACGACCGAGGAAAATGATGGTTAGTAGTACGACATGCAAACATGAGCGATGAGGCTTACGCGTCGCTTGAACTAGATCTATTTCGGTTCCATCCCCAAACTTCACTGATCCATCTAGCCATTGGTACCTCCTTTCTCATCACACTGACGATCCAAGGGTGTGCTAGCATTTCTGTAGGTGTGGGGCGAGCGGCGTGATCGACGATCAAACTAGAGGCGACAATGAGGAACGGCACAGCGAGCAGTCATGGATCACGTACGTTTGTCTAATGAAGTCCTTCATTTCGTCACTCCATTTGCCGTCTGGTTCATCTGTCAGCTGTGGAGGCTAATGCAAATTTTTAAGTGCTGTGGATGTCAGAAATGCTCCGGCCTTACATCTCCTTGCGTGATATGGACAAGCAACTCGATGGATGTCAAGTCGTCCGGGAACGGGTAGCGGTTCTGGACAAGTTCCAGCAGTGTGATACCAGTCGACCACACATCGGCACGGATGCTGTATTCTTTGCCACTGATACGCTCGGGCTAATACATGGATTTCAGCCAGACAATCATGTATGATGACGGACCACGCGTACCGCCATGTAAAAACTTGTTCCAGTGAAAGTTCCAGCCAGGGACTTGACAAGTTCACCGGAAACCCCAAAATCACAAAGGCGGACGACACCTTGCCCAGTTAGAAGGATGTTAGAAGGTTTGATGTCTCTATGAATAGTCTTGATAGAGTGAAGATACGCCAGCCCTGAAAGAACCTAAGGGCCTGGTGAAAAAGATGACAACTGCGAAATATCGGTAGAAGGTCACCCCTTCAGCAATACGACCGGTAACTTTTTCACTGATACGGGCGCCACGTTCTTTAATACGCTTACCGACAGCCTCTAAACTGCCGCCGGCGCCGTACTCCATCATGACCTTGATTTCGCTGGAGGAGGGCGACATGTAAGCCCCATAGAACTGGATGATATTGATGTGTTTTGAAGTGGAGGAAATCTGCAGTTCTCTTCCTAGCTGCTTTAAAGGTGCTTCGCGTGTAGTGATCGTCTTTCTTGCCAAGATGAAGCCATTCCGGATGTCTCTAACTTTGTGAACTGCACCACCTTGACCTTCTCCCAGCCTGCATATCTCCTCTAGAACACTATCGGACCACTTGGTAGACCCGTAGGTCGAGATCTCCTCAGCAGACATGTTGGGATCGACGGATGCTTTTTCAAATACAGAAACCAATTGTTCGATGCTGGAATCGCCGGAATCGCGTTGTTCCGGTGGTCGAGGTGTCTGGAGCTGCATGTCTGACGGACGAACGGTAGCACCGTTAGGGTTTTCTCCATCTAGACCGGGGGGGATAAAGGCGGGGCCTGCGTAGTAGTCGCTGATGCTGCCCACGCCGCCGGATAAAGGTAGCTGAAGTTTGGGTCGCAAGCCATTTGTTCTTGGTGATGGGGAAGTGCCAGGGATGAGAGGGCGCGACGGGGTGGGGGATGAGGAGAGCTGCGATGCAGGCGATGGGGGACGGAGAAATGACTGATCTACGGATGGTTTGCGAATCTGTAATGGACGAGTCTCGGCCAAGTGCGGAGACTGGGAGCGGGGAGTCCTTGGGCCAAGCGGACGAGAGTGCATTGCAAACGCTGGTCACCGGTCGAAGTTCGCGACAGCGGGCAATGCAGCCGTGCAAGGCTCGATCAACCCAAGGACCAAAACGCTTGTTTAGACACCACAGCCAGCCTGAACTTCTGCCACGGCAGTGTAGCCAAGTGGTTACGGCGTCACGTTTAGGCCAACACGTCCTTAAACCGTGATGGGTTTCCCTCGCGAGTTCGAATCTCGTCACTGTCAAATCTTTTTGTCATTGACTTCGTTATAGCTTTCATCACCCATGGCTGCTAGCTCGAGCTCTTCCTCGAATTCCGATCTCAGCAGTTCTCCTTCTACCACGCCACCCCCACCTTGGTCAAGACAGCGACCGCCTTACTTACGATCACAGAGCATCGGAATCGAACCTTCCCAGCTCGTTGGAAAGGTCTTGACCCGGATAAGTCGCTCACCCAAACATCCGTGCATGCAACTGCGGTTCGCCGATGGCACAGTCTACCAAATCTTGGTCGACGGCTATGATCCCGTGCATCGGTACGTTCCCATCGCTCCGATGACGGATATTTCATCCTACCCTGATGCATCAGTGGATTACCTAAAGCGCTGGAGATGGATCCCATCCTTGACTCCCTCCTGGGTGCCGCAGACGGACCGGTAGAACTCGAGCGGATGATCGACCAATGTGTCCTTGTCACTCTAACGGACAAGGCGTTCGAGTCGAGGCAGAGAGAGCAGCGCTGGGACCAAAGCCATGTAGGGGTTGCCTTCAAATTCCGCGAGGAGCAAGTGTGGCATTGCGTGTGGGCGATGCTAACTGACCATGAAAATGGAACGTGCGTTTTCCGAAGCTACAACGACGTTTACCTCGATCAACTACGCTGCTCTCCCCGTAAACACCATTCCCGTACACCATCCTCGTCCACCTAACGTCATTGGCGTTATGTGGCAATATGTACAATCATCGTCGCGCCGTCGCAAAGCCGACTTTTGGCTCGCCTGAACTGTATTGAATTATCTATCGCTCCATGTTCCGTCAATCGATTCGTCGCCGCTATGTATCCCACGCAATGTTCCTTCTTTGTCGTCTTTTTGCCAAGCGCTAGCTCATACGCTACGCCGAACACACTCCACCCTGTAATTCGACGTATGTAGTCCTCAGAACTGTTGTACGAATAGGTTTACTACCTCCGCCCTTCAATATCCAGTATACGCCAATACACATCGTGTCGAAAATAAGAAGAGGGAAAGCCATGTAAACGAGCCAGTACAGGACACTCGTCGACATCCTCGGCGCGCGCACGGGTTGTTTGCGAAATTATTACTTCATAATTATGGCCTCCATCGCACTGCACCGCGCTTGTGTTCGACATCAATGCAAAAAAAAAATAATCTAAGTTCACTTTTTAATACTTACGAGATAGGAGGCACATTGATCAGCCACCTCGCGGTCGCTTCCCAAACCGGCGTAATATTAGCTCACAAAATGTGTTGGGGTTGAGTTCACGTTAGCATACTTGAATCGTAAACGTCAGAAAGGTCGCTGGAGACCGAGCGCCAGGACAGCCCAATGGATTCCCCACCCTAGCGAGTACAATCACCGAGGCCCCTCACAGACTCCGAGGGGAGTAGTTGAAGTGTGTTGCAAGGAAACGCAAGGTTGCCGCATCAGGAACAAGTCCACGCATGCAGCACGGCTGAATCTGCGGATTCGTCATTTCGATATATGGTCATAAATGGGTGATATATTCGCTGGTTGTGACGTGAGCAACTGAATGGGGGTCGTAATAAACTTATGGAAGGTCGTATCATGACTGCGTGTTGGCAGAAGTTTGCTGGATGAAGAGAGCATTTGGGCACCGGCGCGGAAAAGTCAACATTGTCGGACCTGAGATAAGACAGACTCTCAACTAGAAGAGCTGTCAAAGTGTAAGGGAAGCTGTCCCATTTGGTGGCTATCATGGGGCCTATCTGTTCAATTGATACAGCCGTCAGCCATGTCCGTGGTGTCGCCATCATTATTGCTCCCACGGTCTCCACTACCTGCGACCGACTTCCAGCTGAATGACAAGCCACGCAGCCCCCCCTGCGCGCTTGTCCTTTGCATCATTGACCCCTCAGAACGTCGGGACGATTCGAAAGCTCAACACCGTGCTTTTCCCTGTCAGGTATGGCGAAAAATACTACCAAGACATACTGCACCCCGAAGTCGAACCTTTCTGCCAGCTCAGTCCGTCCGTTTCGCGTCCCCTGTCCGCTCTTTCTCATCTCTCAGAAAGTATACTACAATGACATACCAGTCGGCAATGTTTGCTGTCGATTCGAAGGCAGAGATTTGTATCTCATGACCATGGGCGTCCTTGCTGTGAGTCAGGTCACGCCCTTTCGGACTCGTCGCCCATACCATCCCCAGCCTTATCGCTCCCGCCAAATCGGTTCCAAAGCCATCGAAAACATTGTCGAGGCCGCTTCCTCTCATACCAAACCAAAAATCGGACGGATATACCTTCACGTACAGGTATCAAATGAGGATGCCAAACGATTCTATGAGCGGCACGGGTTCAAGGAAGTGGGCATCCATGAGAACTACTACAAAAAGATCACTCCTCGGGATGCTTGGATACTAGAGAGACGCTTCCAGAATGTAGACACATGATTGTACAGTATTAATGAGCTATAAGAGCGTTCGCAGCAGCGGAGGAGACTCCAGCAGGTATAAGTCAAGTGGTCTCGGGTACTACTAGTCGTATCTTAACAATACATACTGACAGGTAAACATTGAAAGGAATCCCAAGAGCAGTACAGGATTGTTCAGTATGCCCGAGGTGATGAATACTACGTCCTCAAAACCAATCAAGACCTCGTGTCGCAACATTGGTAGGGCACGAGCCTCGCATGACCACTATCTCCCTCTGAACAAGGTGGCGGTAGACCATGCATCATAATTCGTCGTCTCGTCCGCATCCCTTCACAAGCTTATCAGCGGTAAGTTCAGTCATACATTTTCCGAATGTAATCCAATCAAATACCTGATGTCGTTTCAAAGCGTCTTTGCGGGTGAATGTCTTCCCACAGCCACCATTGCACGAGAAGGGCTTCTCCCCTGAGTGCGTCTCTCTGTGCCGTTTGAGATCGTGTTGACGATTGAAGGATAGCGCACATAGGTCGCACGAATAGGGGCGTGCAGGGGACGCCGGATATTGCGGCGGCTGTGCAAAGTACGGGGCGGGAACGTGGCTGCTGTGTTGGGGTGGAGAAACCTGCTGATGGTATGAAGGTGAAGTTGGGTATTGTGATGTGCCACCTCTGGCTGGGCTACTACGATGGTCAGGAGGAGACGGATAACTTTGTCGGGGCGCGTAGGGGCCGGGGGAAGACTGCAGGTACTGAGCCGGTGGCTGCGTAGGACAGGGTACACCGTGATGGCCCGCTACTGGTCCGCGGGCTTGATGGTGTGTCCCGTATGGGACGGAGGGGTCTGGCTGGGCGGTCATCTGAGCACTCAGCGTAGGGTATGGGGGATGATATGACCTGGGGTCGATATTGGTCTGAGGTGGGTATTGAGAGGGAGGCTGAGTGTTCCCCGACCACTGACTACTTCGACTGGCGTCGGGAGGGTAGGGGTATACACGTCGATCGGACATGTCGGGACTGGATGGAGGGAGGGCGATACTAAGTATCCTAAACGCCTGTCCTGATTCCACAGAGGTTCATATGCATTTCCGGAACTGCTCAGGCGCGCACGACTAAAACATGAAAGATCGGCCACTTTCTGTAACTGCCAAACTGGCAGAACTCTGCAGACTGAAGGAGCGCAAGGTTAAATGACATTGCCCTGATTGGGGGGTGTATGTACCTGATAACGAAGGTCATGTATCGGACCAGAAAGCGTTGGCAGCGGTCTGCAACAACAGATAACCTCGTAAGTGCATCATGTCATCTTCTAACCAAACTTAGGTGTTGACTCCCATTGGTCTGCGATGTGTGTACACCGCTCGCCATCTCTCCAAGATATCATACATGTCATCATCACCCATCAGGTACGTTCAGCCCGTCTAGGTAAAGTGTCAGCTTGTCACGATCCCTGGCCATGGCGGTGCCTGCAATGTCCCCTGACTTTCCAGAGCAGTACTTATGTGTGCAGACATGGTTGTTACCCTTCCAACCGCGGGACATTCTCAGGTTAGCGGACCTACGCCATGCGCTTTGTGGCATAGTCTCTTCGCAGTCTCGCAGCCACCACATCGTATCCAGTGAACCAAGTTTTGCCTTCCCAGGGAAAATGACGCGCCGTCAAAACTGATCTTTAAAATGGGGAAATGGCTTGTCAGGGCGCATTACGGCTGAACGTTCCAAACCATCGGTTCCCTGAAAGAATGGATAGCCTGGGATAGCCTACTATCACTGCCTTGTCTTTCTGCGCTCTCCAATTTTGGATCCCATCAGTCTCGGTGGGAGGCGGCTAGTCCAGATGCAAGCCAAGTTGAGAGGACGGGTAGTCATGCTGGCTTACCACTGCCTGTGTATGATGTTAGCGGCACCGCAGTGTCCCGACAGGATCCTGCCGCTGATCAACATCACCGCCGGTGCCACGAGCAGCCCGCTCACCAGTCTCGTCCACTCCGTCGTGGCGCCGGAGATGCGGTCTTGGCACATTCGGCCATTGGGGTGCTGGAAGGAACTACACGTACCGATCATCGCGTGATCTTACGCATATTTCCGAGCGGAGCAGAACTGACACCCTGTCAAAGATTATTCTTCGCGATAAATACACCGAACACAAGACGAGAGGGCTGGATGTACTGTGGGAGGTGGGCGAACCGATGTTGTTGTACTTTACCACAAGGGATGTCGCTCTTTCGGCGACTGTAGTACTTACTAAAGGTTGTCTCAGCACACCTGGATCGAGGGTGTAATGCTCAAGCGCTCAACATAGTTCACTTCCGCAGCGGTCATTGTGGGAGTTATTGGTACCCCCCTGTCAGGACAATTCGGCCAAAGCTACTTCGCAGCAGATTCGGAAGTTTTGACGTTTCAAAGCAAATTTATTAAGGCTTGAAAACCAGGAACCGCGACCCACGACCCTTTACGGCTACATACATAATTCCAGGTTCCCGCGAATTCACTAGCTACGTTCACCACACATATATGTATGTAGCCCCTCAGCTGCAGGGTTGTGACCACTTGACGTAACTGCATTAATCAACAAATGCCTGCCTTAAGCATTGGGTATGACATTAGCCCAC